CCATCTTCCGCGTTCAGTGAAATAAGGAGATCGGTCGTTTGCAGCTCGTCCATAACTGGTCCCACCATTGAACAAGAAGGTCCCTTTTTGTTAGTCGAATTGGAGTTGTCGCTCTGCGCTCCCGTCTTCGAAGAACTCTCCTTCTGCGTTGAAGCATTGTTCTTCTTGTCGGCGCGTTGTTCGCACTGGAACGCAAAGTGTCCGACTTCTCCGCAGACCCAGCAAGGTTTCTTCGAGCTCCTTTTGTTGTTCGGCTGTCGACCATCTTTCTTCTACTGCTCCTTGTTCGACGAATTCTGCTCCGTAGAACCGCCAGATGTCGAAGAAGACCAACGTTTCTGCTGCTGCTGCTGATGCTGCTGCTGTCCCGTTGACGCCCAGTTAAACTGTGGCAGAGGTGATTCCTTCCGCTTTTCGAGCTCGAGCGTGCACTCCTCCCCGATAATTATGCTCGTCAAAGTGTTTTCGTCGAGGGTCTTGCAGTTTTCCGGAGATTGTAGCATTCGTCGAAGGTACTTGTACTCCGCGGGAAGACCTGTGAGGACATGAGTCACATACGAGGCCATCGAATAGTTCACGCCGGCCATTCGCAGATTAGCGAGAATCATCTGCGCGCGATTGCAGTAGGTCGTCGCCGTCTCATGCTCCGCCATCTCTAGCGTCGCCAAGCTCTTCTCTAACTGGCCGATATAGAGATAGTCCGTTGCTTTGTAGGTCTCCATGATGAAGCGCCACGCCTGGTAACCCGCGTCCACTCGAAGACGACATGACTTCAAGGCGATCTTCACGGATGGAGAGCAGCAGCGCGATATCACCATAAAGGTCAGAAGTTGCGCCGAGCGAAATTGTGTATACTGTGAAGTGTCGCTCAGCCGTGGAATCTTGATCAAGACGTCGATGAACGGCTTCAGCTGCGCGATTTCAAGTTGAGGTTCTATGGACTCCCTCCAGACGGATAAGTCATGACGTCCTTCGAGAAGCTTCGGCACCATGATCTTGTCGGGAGAAAATTTGAAGTATCCGTAGTCAGGAGCAATTCCGCCGTCTTTCGATGCTGTCGGGTGAGAGATTGCCAAGCTCCCACCAGTCTTCACTGCAGATTCTCGACCGCTCAAGCGTCCTCCTTTGCCAGCCACCTTCTTCGGACTAGCACCATTCTTCTGCTGTGAGCCTTCACCAGGGCTCATCGGTTCTCCTTGTCGTAGAGCACCTCGTGGCTCTTGCATTCCGCCTTCTTCCGGTTCTTCAGCGTCGGCGTCGTCTCCAGAAGTCTGTGATGCCCCATCTTCCTCTGAACGAGTCTGCGGATGGTCGATCTCCCATTGAGCTCGTGCTCCCAAGAGCATAAAGTTGAGCTCCCGCTCGGTAAGATCTCCGCCTTCATGACGAGCCATCAAAGCAGCCTCCTGCTCACTTAAAATGTCGAACGTCTCGAGGATTTCCTCAGAGCCCACCATGTCGACTAGCTAAGTTCAATGAGACCTAACGTCGAAGAACGGACTCTATGCGTGTTCGTTCCACGCTCACCGCACCATGCAGAGATTTCTGCTCTAACGGGAGTTGGAACTCTACGAAATGCCTCTCTGCAGCCACGCAAACTTTGTTGTTCACTAAGGAGAAAATTGGTGAAGTGTTGAAAAAGGCATAGAGTTGGCACACACAAAGAAATTTACTAGAATAGAATCAAAGATAGAATACAAGGGGTAAAGAACTACCCAACCACTGAACCTAACAAGAGAACGTTCTCACCAGAATGTTTAGATAACTACTACTTAGCTGCGCTTTGCCAAGTCAGCATCGGCAGGTGAAAATTACAACACATGCTTAGTTGGTAATTTTTACCTACCTTTAACTGTTCAGGTTGTTTTAAACAACATTTGTAACGCACGTTTTCGTAGTTACGAAAATGTGCTCCAGGTTCAGTTTGCTCAGGTGGTTCAATTCGCCCCCAGATTGAACACCCCAAGTTCACGCACTGTTTCTGGGGGTCAATTTCTCAATGTCCGCGATGTTCCGAAATTCCCACACAAAAGTTCTGAAACGATCGCGTTTTCGCGTCGGAGTGGTTCGTCGATAGAGGATGCGCTCTTCTGCAGAAATCCGCTTCTGCAGATGCGCCCTCTTCTGCAGACCCGATTTCTGCAGATGCGCCTGCTTCTGCGGCGAAACCTGCTTTCCGCTTCTGCAGGTTTCTCTCTGCTGAAGACCTCCGCGCTGACCACTGCAGATTTTGCTTCGGTAGAATTTCGCTCCCCTGCAGAAGGCGACGACCATCTTATGCAGGGTCAATGCCAGCTCAACAAATTTAACAGGGCTATTCACCCACGGCTACAAGTTCGACAGGTTCTTCAAGATGTTTCACCGACGGGCTACGACGCAATTCGGGAAATATTACCTAAAAGCCGGTACGAATCAGATTTGGGTCCCGGCATACCAGCCCCTCCGGGAGTTGTTGACGCAGGAGGTTCACGACTCCAACCTTTCCGGGCATTTTGGCATCGATAAAACACCGAAACTGTAGTGGAATTACTATTGGCCCGATATGTTGACGGTCGTGCAGCGCTACGTGACAACGTGCCCGACCTGCAAAGCAATGAAGTTATCGCGACAACGCCCAGCCGGATTGCTGCAGCCCCTCGAGCCACCCGAACGACCGTGGCAACAGGTGACGATGGATTTCGTTACGGGACTCCCAACTGGCGCAAGTGGCAACGACTCGGTATTGGTCATCGTTTACCGATTAACGAAAATGGCGCATTTTGCACCATGGCGAACGACGATCACAGCCGAAGACACATCGAAGCTGTTCATCTCCACCGTCGTACGCCTACACGGGTTACCTTCGGCGATCATCAGCGATCGAGACCCGAAATTTACTTCGAAGTTCTGGCAGGAGACGTGGGCACAGTACGAAACCCGCCTGCAATTTTCGTCGTCTTACCACCCGCATGGAGACGGCCAGACCGAACGGACCAATCAGACCATGGAGCAGCTGATACGCACCAACTGTCCCGACCTGACCAAGTGGGAGGATTCACTTCCGATGCTGGAGTTCGCGTATAACAACGCACCCTCAGCAACGACTAAACAGTCGCCGTTTTACCTGAATTACGGGATAGACCCCGTGATACCCTCTTCCACGACACCCGACAATCCGGTACCACGATCGCAGCAGTTCGTCACGGAGCTTCAAACAGCCCGCAAGAGACCCGCGTATTTTATCCAAAATGCTAACACCACCGCCAGTCGCAATGCGGATAAACATAGACGGGATTTAACCTTCCGCCCGGGACAGGTGATTCTCCTGCCCAAAAAAAAAAAAAAAAAAAAAAAAACTTGGGCTGCCCCAGCCTGCGAAACTCCGCCCACGATACGTGGGACCATTTTCGCATCACCCAGATGGTGACACCTGTCACGGTGCGACTACTGCTGCCCGACGACTGGAAAGATCATGACGCCTTCCACGTCAGTTTGCTGCGTCCTTATGAGCCGCCCCAATCGCCAGCAATCGCACGGCCCAACCTTACGCCCACCGACCGACCCATGACAGACCCCATGCTAGAACCCTGGAAAATCCCGAACCATCGCGTGGAGCAAACACCCAATGGACGCAAATTCCTACTCCTGCTTCGCTGGAAGGACCGTAAAAGCGAGGACGACACGTATGTCGGCGCTGACTCGCTGTAGGGACACCCGATTTTGCAGGCTTATCTGACCCGCCGGGGCATTCTGAATATTCACCACATTTTTTTAAGGGGGGGGTAGTGTAAGGAATTTTCTGTGATTCCTTACTGGGTCAGACTGTACGCGTACAATTCCGGTTTTCGGAGAACATGCTCGGTCCGACGACCTCGCTCTCCGAACCACCACCGCGTCGCCTTCGGGTTTTCCAACCCCGAACCTGCACCCAACCATCTCGCAACCCCGCGGTTTCGACCTAGCTAGCATTGCTATATCAGTGCTAGGCTTCATTATTCACTCGTAAGTTGTATTAACTTCCGTGTTATTGAATCCTGCTCACTCTTTTCATTACAACTCATAACAGTTGGTCCCTCTTAATTGTCCATTAGGGACTCTTCAGAAAATCTGGTTACCCTGTGAATTGCGTAGCTACAGTTGCACTGTAGTTGTTCCTTGATAGATCGAGGGCAGGGTCGATCGAGGGAGGGGTCGTGTCCTAATCCGTCCCTCGAGCTTTGGATGCGGTTTGGCTTGAAAAGTGCTGAAACCTGTGGCTTGGTTTGGGTGGGGAAAGGGTTGTAACGAACTTCTCCAACGAATTCTGGTCACAAATAGCATCTGTATGCCGTTCGATCTTACCATTGTGCGGCCGATTTTGTTTCACGAAGGAATCTTTTTGCAGGGAATCTTTTTTTATAGCGCAGCCTCGCTACCACGATTGCTCGCACCAGCTACTGCTGTGCCGAGGACGCGGCACATGCTGTGACCCTCACGGCAAAGTTGCTCACTCCTTGCCTGCTCTCCTTTCCTCCCCTCCTCTTCCCTCCAGTAGCAGCAGAAAGCCACAACTGGTGGCCGCTTCTGTGCCAGATTTTAGGGCTCGTCGTCTCGGTGTGTCTCGCTTCTGGTTGGTCGATTGCCTTGTCGGCAATGCAAGAAATTACTGGTAAACGGAGGGGCTCTTAATTGGTCATCGCGGACTGCAGCAAGGGTTACAGTGATGTTTCCCGGTTGCGATTGCCTCGTCGCGGCTGCATGATAATCGCACTTCGCAATTCTACGGCACCTTTGGGTGCCAGGACAGCAATTAGTTTGATCAGCTCTGACTGCTGGTCAGTGAACCGAGTCTGTGAAGTGCCGAAAGCCTGAGATGTGCAGAGGCCGATATTGCTGAAAGCCTGAGAAGTGCAGAGGCCGATACTGCTGAAAGCCTGATAAGTGCAGAGGCCGATACTGCTGAAAGCCTGATAAGTGCAGTTAGTTGATATGTGAGCTTGATATGTGACATCTGAGAAGTCAACGCAGGCAACCGCATTCCCATGGACTCCAAGCCACGTGGGACTCCGCGAAACCAGCAGCAGCGGGAGACTCAGCCGAAGCATCAGCAAACGCAAGACGTCCTGTACCTCCCACCACCCGCGTTCCCCATTCAGCCGCCGCAACAGCATCAGCACCAACGAATGCTGCAGCAGCAGCAGCAGCAGCAGCAGCAGCAGCAGCAGCAGCAGCAGCAGCAGCAGCAGCAGCAGCAGCAGCAGCAGCAGCAGCAGCAGCAGCAGCAGCAGCAGCAGCAGCACCAGCAGCAGCATCAGCAGCTGCAGCAGCAGCAGCAACAGCAACAGAAACAGCAGCAGCAGCAGCAGCAGCAGCATTTCAAGTTCGAACAGTTAGCGTCAGACGAGGTTTCTCCAACGACCATGTCGGACCGTCGCAGCTCGCACTTTTCTCCCATTCCCCTGACTTTCGCGGGCGGTCATGTGTACGCTGAAGGGTTCTACGCCAACTCTCCGCCAGTCGCTTTCTCGTCCATGTTCGGTAGCGAGGGGGCGCTTGACAACTTAGATGGTAACAATGCTGCAACGGGTACGTCGAGATTCGCCAAGGAGTGCGAGGTTGGCGAGAGCGGGAACGCGGCTTCTGTAATTATCGTCGAAGAAGCTGGTAACGGGGAAGAGATGGATCGTGACAATAACGAGGGTCGGATGGAGGTGGGGGGTCTGGAGAACATTTGGACCGACGAATCAGATAAAATCGAGAACGTGGAGGGGAGGCTGGAAGGCAGATCGGAAGGGAGATCGGAGGAGAGGGGGATGCCGAGGGGGCGCCAAGCGAACGGCGGGAGGGAAAAGGACATGGGGGATGCGTACGGGCCGACAGCAGCGGCCGGAACGGGCTGTGATTGGCCGACGTGGCCTGAGTACACTCCGGACGAAGCCATTGGAGCTGACTGGGCGGAGCTGCTGAAGGTCGATGACGAGGTGGGTTGTTGGTGGCTCTCAGTGGGTGGGTTGTTGGTGGCTCTCAGTGGGTGGGTTGTTGGTGGCTCTCAGTGGGTGGGTTGTTGGTGGCTCTGAGTGGTTCACGGGAGAAGAAGAAAGGGGTTTCTTACTTGGGGTGAAAGCCTTGGGCTGGGTTTGTGTCTCTTGTGAGATTTCTCCAAGGTGGCTCTGGGTTCTTCGGGGGAGAAACAGGAAGTGGTTCCAGAAACCCGTTAGGTACAGGTACAGCCGTATGGGATGTGCTACGGGAAGCAACAGGCAAAGTTGGCTCCTTGGTCAATAGTTTGTTGGACCATTCGAGTTCCGCGTGCTTGCTCCGCTCCGCTCACTGCTTGCAGCATTCCGCCTTCTCTTTCTGCCGACGTTCATTTTCAAAACTCCTTTGCGGTTCGCCGCCGTCGAGTCTTTGTGCATGTGTTGTGTGTCGCCGCTGATCTCTCTCCAATCCATTCCATTCCATGGCTCTCCACCTGTCTGTCCGTGCCCGTCCCGTCGAATAGTCGGTCGTTCCTAATCGTGCTGCTCTCGCTGCAAGCAGCAGCTCCGTCCCTCTTCTTTGTCATCCTCCATTAATCTTGCTCTCTCTACAGCTGGTTCTCTTTTCAAAGCTAGACCCAGCACAGAGGTGGGTGGGAGGGCAGCAAAGCGAAGCGATCCTTGAGTGAGTCTGCTCATTTGTCAACTTCTTATTCGTGCTTCATTTTCATTGCTGTCCTGCCTTTACAGGTGGTGGTGCCGTCCAAGCTGGAGACAGCTCAAGCGGGAGGGCAGCAGGGCTCGTCGTCCTCCCTTCCCTGGGAACTCCGCTACCCGCAACCGCAGCAGCAGCAGCAGCAGCAACAGCAGAACCAGCAGCAACACCAGCATCACCAGCAGCAGCAGGAAGAAAATCAGCAGCAGCAGCAGCATCAGGAGCAGCAGCAACCACATCATCATCAGCAGCAGCAGGAGCGACACGACCTGTTTGCGAAACGCCCGACCCCTCGGGAAAACCGTTCTGCAAGCCAAGATACCCATCAGCGGCAGCCGCAGCAGCAGCAGCAGCAGCAGCAGCAGCACCACCACCAGCACCATCATCACCACCATCACCAGCAGCAGCAGCAGCAGCAGCAGTACCAGCCGCACCAGGCACAACACGCAAGCACACCCAACCCCAGCTTCCCACCCCCATCTCACCTCCCCGCCTCACCGCTGTCCAGGCCGCCATACCCGCCCTTCCACAACCCCTACTCCTCCCCAGACCTCCCGTTCTCCCTGGTTGCGGTGCCAGGCATGTACGCACAGATCCACCCAGGGGGAAGGGACCCTCTGCCGCTGCCGCCGCTGCCCCTGTCGCTGGGGGGGATGCCTTGCGCCCTCCGCGTGGCTGCGCCCGCATCCTCTGCTTCCACTGCTGGGAACAGCGGTGGTGTGGGAGGGGGGGGCGGAGGGCGCGGGGGAGGGGGAGGGGAAGGGGTAGGGGGAGGGGAAAGGGGAGCGGGACGCGGAGGCGGAGGAGGAGACGGGACGGGAACTTCGTCGCAAGGAGCAGCAGTCAATGGTAACGCTGCCACTGCTGCCGTAGCCACTGCTGGTGCCGCTGGTGCCACTGCTGTCGCTGCTGGGATGCAGGGCCAGGGTGGGGCCGGGGGTGGTGGTGGTGGAATGGATGGGGTAAGCATGTGCCGGATGGACTCTATAGGGGGGATGAATCTGCTTGCCCCGGGGACGGACGCTGCTGCCGCCGCTGCGTCTGCTGCCGCGTCTGCTGCTGCCGCCACCGCTGCTGCAGCTGCTGCTTCGGGCGGAGGGGTGGCGCCCGCGGGGTCACTGGGAGGGCGCGGAGGGGAAGGGGGAGCGACGAGCAGCGTGGGCGGGGGAGGGGGGTTCAGCATGGGGGGAGGAGGCGGGGGAGGCGGCGGGTTCAGCAGCGATGGGGGGAGTTCCGGCAAGCACCGGCTGCGGTGGACGCCAGAGCTGCATGAGAAATTCGTCGAGGCCGTCGCAAACCTCGGAGGGGCTGACAGTAAGTCTGCTTGTCTTCCCGTGTGACTGTTGGAAAGAGGGGGGTGTGTCATGCATGTCGTATTCCCCTAGCACAGGCTGCGGTGGACGCCGGAGGCAGTCGCGAACCTGGGAGGGGCTGACTGTAAGTTTTTTATTTCTTTCTCTTCTTTTGCCTCCGTCCGTTCTACCTTTCTTCCGTGTTGTTGGCTGACAGTACGTCGTGGCTGGATGGGAAGGGTGGCATTTATTCCCTCCATGCCCCCCGCCTCCCTCTCTCGCTGCCACTTCTGCTCCCGTTTCCACTGACCTCTCCCTCTTTTCCCTCTCTCTTCTCCCCATGCCCCCCCCCTCCCCCTCCCGTTCCAATTGTTCTCCCCATGCACCCTCCCGTTTCGTGCAGAGGCGACGCCTAAGGGTGTGCTGCGAGTGATGGGCGTGCAAGGCCTCACCATCTACCACGTCAAGAGCCACCTGCAGGTGCGTCTGCCACTACCATCGTCATCTATAGAAATGCATGATGCATGCATGTATGTCTGGTTGGTGTGGTGGTATCATTGGACTTGGTCATGGGCATGTAATGTAGGTGCTCACGTCACCATTTACCACGTCAAGAGCCAGATGCAGGTGCGTAGTTGCGTGTGTCACACGAACCATCTTCAGCCGTCAGGCATGCATGCATGCATGCATGTATGGTTGGTGTGGTGGTATCATGGGACTGGGTCGCACTGAATGCCATGCCATGGCATGGGCGTGTATGCAAGGGCTCACGAATCACAATGTGCCACGTCAAGTGCCACGTGCAGGTGAAGATTTCTTAGTCGACTCAAAGTTCTTGGGTTAGGCCGCTTTAACATTTCGTGCTTCTCCCCCTTCCCCCCTGCCCCCCTGCCCCCCTGCCCCCATGCCCCCCTCCCCCCTCCCCCTTTCCCCCCCTCCCCCCTACCCCTGTTTTCCCCTCCCCCCCTGCATATGTTGTCCCTCTCTGCAGAAGTATCGACTCGCCAAGTACCTTCCAGATCCTTTGCCTTCCACACCCCGAGAAAAGGGTAAGTTCATAGAATACACCAACAGCTGAACTGGCCACGGAGCCACAGAGCATACATTCCTGAACTAGTCTGCCGAGCCAGCTCTCTGCCAAGCCTACGCTCTCCCGAGCCTACGTTCTGACAAACCTGCACTGCAGGGTGTGTAGTTTTGTTTGAGACTTCACAAAATTAAGAGTGCAGGGAGCAGCGGAATCTACAGAGTGTCTATTGTTCATAATCCCCCTTATTTTTTCCCTGACAGACCGAAATCACCTCACGTCATCCATGTTGCGGGCATTTTCATTATTCAAATCTACTGCCCCTTAAATCTGGATGATTCACCGGTTCCTTTCCTCCCTATCCCTCCCGCTGTGCCTCCCAGAGCCAAAGCCGGAGAGGGCAGAGAAGCCCCCCAAGCGTTTTGCTTCCGGGGCGTTTTTTTTTTTTTTTTTTTTTTTTTTTTTCCATTCAAATATACTGCCCCTTACTCTGTACGGCGGCAGCAGCAGCAGCAGTGGCGACGGCACCGCCGTTTCACCGTCGACGCTGCTGCTGTTGCTGCTGATGCGAAGAATTCCGAGCGATTCACCTGTCCCTTTCCGCCCTATCCCTCCTGCTGTCCCTCCCAGAGCCAAGACCGGAGAGGGAAGAGAAAGCCCCCAAGCGCATTGCCTCTGGAGTGTTTGCACCTGCGCCCGTCACACTAGCTCCGCCCCCCTTCCCTCCTGCTGCTGCTGCCGCCGCCGCCGCTACCGCGGCCGCCGCTGCAGCTACTGCTGCTACTGGTGCTGCTCCTGCTACTTCTGGTGCTGCTGCTGTGGCCGCCACTACCGCTGCAGCTGCGGCTGCGGCTGCGGCTGCTGGCTCTCTGGGCTTCCAGCATGATGCTACAGACGGCGAGCCTTCGTCGCTCGACCCTGCTGTGTATGTCCTTCACTCCCTAACCCACACCACCACCGCCCATCCCTTCCCCACTCTCCCTTCCCCCCTCTCCCCTCCCCTCCCCCACTTTATTTAAATCCATGTCTCATCCTTGCTTTACCATTACTTCGCTTGTTGCTGACTATATGTCTTATTCAATTCTTATGTTCCGGCTCCCTCTCCCCCTTCCCTCTCACTGCTTGCTTCGTGGACTGCAGTATGCGCAGCGTATCGTTTGAATAGATTCAAAAATCACCTCCTTTTAATCATCTAAGCACCCTGAACGCCGAGGGACACGCAGAAGCGCCTTCCCATGCAGAAGCGCCTTCCCATGCAGAAGCGCCTTCCCATGCAGCTGCAGCTGCAGGAGCAAGGTCTGATCCACTCCTTGTGTGCTTACTTGCGTTCTCTCCCTCCCTCCCCGCTTGCAGCATTCGCAACATCCCGATCACAGAGGCTCTCAGGATGCAGATGGAGGTGCAGAGGCGGTTGCACGAGCAGCTGGAGGTGCAGCGGCAGCTGCAGCTGAGGATTGAGGCGCAGGGTAAATACCTCCAGAAAATCATAGAGGAGCAGGCGAAGGCGAGTGGCATGGTGGTTGCCAGTAGATCCTCCACTGCCGGTGGGGCAGTCACGTCTGCTGACCCCGCTGGGGCTCTCAACGCGGGAGCGGGGGGAGGAGCGGGGCAAGGAGGGGAGGGTGGGGAAGGAATGGTGACAGGCCGGGAAACTGACGCAGGTCCGTCTGCCGATGCTGGTGCTGCTGGTGCTTCTGCTGTCGGTGCTGCTGCTGCTGGCCATGTTGGTGGGTTGGCAGGGCACAGTGGAGAGATCTCCCTAGGGGTGAGCTCGAGTATGGAGAAGCCGTTGGATGCCCGCTATGGTGCTGCATCAACGGCTGCTGCTGCTGCTGACGATGCTGCTGCTGCTGCATATGGTTGCTACGTTTCTCATCCCCCTCCTCACTACTTCCCACCAACTCCTCTTCATGCTCATGCTTCTGCCGCCGCCGCTGCTGCCACTGCTGCTGCCGAAGCTCCTGATGCTGCTGCCACTGCAGCTGCAACTGCTGCCCCCTCTGCTGCAAGCGTTTCTGCTGCCGCTGCTGCTGCAGGTGTCCCCGGGGAGATTGCACCGAATTCGTCTTCTCTCATGTCCACCTCCCCCCAACCCCCCCATCCCCCCCAACCCCAACTCACTGCCACCACAGCTGCACCCACCCCAGCTGCACCCAATCAGCCCTTCTTAGTGGTGTCAGCTAAGCAGCCCAAGGCCCCTCCGCGCCTGGTCTGCTCCCCCCTCTCCTCCACCCGCCTCCTCCGCCCCCTACCATCCCCATCCGCTTCCCCTGCCCTCTCCGCACCACCATCCCCCGCAATTGAGATGGACCCGCCTGGAGCTGCACCTGAGATTTCTCCTGCTGCTGCTGGTGTAACTGGTCCCTCTTCTGTTGCACCTGATGTTTCTGCCGCCCAGTTTGCCTCCCAGAGTATGTCTGGGGCAGCTGCACCTGGGATTGCGCCGGCACCTGAGAATCCACCTGGGAAAACACCTGCTTTAGGTGGGCCGTGTGGGTCGTCGGGGCAGGAGAGGGGGAGGAGGAAGAGGCAGAGGACGAGGGAGGTGATTGTAGACGTGTGTGGGGACTTGGAGGATGTGTGTGGGGAGGTGGAGGAGGAAGAGGAGTGTGGGGAGACAGAGGAGGTGGATGAGAGGGGAGGTGATGCTGGTGATGGTGATGGTGATGGTGATGGTGATGGTGGTGCTGGTGGTGGTGGTGATAGTGATAGTGATGGTGATAGTGGTGGTGGTGCTGCTGTTGCTGTTGCTGCTTTTGCTGCTGCTGCCACTGCTGCTGGTGATGGTGCTGGTGCTGGGTGTGTGTCAGCCCCGGCGCCCATCTCTCGCAGCTCCAGCTATGTGTCTCTACAGCAGCAGAGGCAGAGGCAGCAGGGGCGGAGTAAGATGCAGACTAGCATGGGTGCGGGTGCCATAGCAAGCGCGTCCCACGGCCTTCCATACACCCCAGCCCATTCCCCAGTGCCACCACCTGCTGCTTCTGCTCTTGCACCTGTGGCAGGTCATGCTAGCGTCCCATTACAGTCACACCCGCATACAGGCACTCATTCAGTCCCGCCTCCCCCTTCCCATCTGGCCCATCATCCCCCACCAAACCATACCCACTACCATGCCATTCCACACCCCTCCTCCTCCCACCCCCAGCACCACGCCATGCCACCTCCCCCTCACTTCATGTATTCCATGCCAGCTGGCATGCATGGGTATCCGCCACCGCCCATGCCGCCTGGCATGGCAGCACACTATGCCATGCCTGGCGCCATAGGGCATCACATGCCGCAGCAGCATGCCAACATGCCCCAACATCCTAACACGCCGCAACAGGCCAGCATGTATTTGAACGTTCACCCAAGCATGCATCCCAGCCATCCAAACCATCCGGGCCATCCCAGCCATCCAAACCACCAGCACTCAGGTCACACGGGTGGGCATGGTGGGCATGGCTCCCCTTACATGTATGCGGGAATGCACCCTGCCACCACTGGCACTGCTGTGTCATCCGCGCCATCAGGCCACCCTTACCCCTTGGCTTTCAGCCCTCTTACTGTGATGCAGCCGCAGCAGCAGCAGCAGCAGGAGTGTGATCAGCAGCAGCAGCAGCAGCAGCAGGGAGGTGGTTTCAGCCAAGGTGGTGTGTCCAATGCACCCATGCAGTCGCTTACTTGGGCCCAACCTGGCATACAAGGCTCCAACCCTCGTGCTGTCGGCAGCACCTTGGTCCTGCTCTCCCCTAGGGATGCTGCTGCTGCTGCTGCTTAGGCACAACAAGAGTCAGCCGGTGGAGGTGCAGTCGGGGGGGCCGGGGGTGGGGGAGGAGGAGGAGGGGGAGGGGGAGGGTCGCAGCAGCGGAAGCAGAAGAAGGTGCGGCAGCAGAGGCATCAACAGCAGCAGCTGGCTGCGGTGGTTGCAGCAGGGATGCTTGCAGGGAGGACGCAGTATCACCAGCAGCAGCAGCAGCAGCAGCAGCAGCAGCAGCAGCAGCAGCAGCAGCAGCAGCAGCAGCAGCAGCAGCAGCAGCAGCAGCAGCAGCAGCAGCAGCAGCAGCAGCAGCAGCAGCAGCAGCAGCAGCAGCAGCAGCAGCAGCAGCAGCAGCAGCAGCAGCAGCAGCAGCAGCAGCAGCAGCAGCAGCAGCAGCAGCAGCAGCAGCAGCAGCAGCAGCAGCAGCAGCAGCAGCAGCAGCAGCAGCAGCAGCAGCAGCAGCAGCAGCAGCAGCAGCAGCAGCAGCAGCAGCAGCAGCAGCAGCAGCAGCAGCAGCAGCAGCAGCAGCAGCAGCAGCAGCAGCAGCAGCAGCAGCAGCAGCAGCAGCAGCAGCAGCAGCAGCAGCAGCAGCAGCAGCAGCAGCAGCAGCAGCAGCAGCAGCAGCAGCAGCAGCAGCAGCAGCAGCAGCAGCAGCAGCAGCAGCAGCAGCAGCAACAGCAGCAGTAAACGGGTCGTTGCGGCGGAGGCAGAGGATGGTGGGAAAGCAGAGGCATCAACAGCAGCAGCTGGCTGCGGTGGTTGCAGTGGGGTTGCTTGCAGGGAGGACGCAGTGTCACCAGCAACAGCAGTGGTCGTATGGGGTGAGACGCATACACACTATATTATAAAATATTACAAGATTGTTTGCAATCAATACCGTACTGCTTATTGCCTGATTGCTTGTACCGTAGTTATGATTTGTGATCTCCAGTTGGGTTTGGCGGATCTCAATTTGCAAATCCCGTTATTTTCAGGTGAACCTCTTGTCAGACTCGAGTGATTCAACGCGTTTCGGGTTTAGGGTTTACTCTCAAGAAGTGAACAGCGGAATGGTTGGATTAGGAAACGAAGGGGATACAAATATGGAACCCTAAATGTGTTGTACTCTCTAGGGAGTACCTCACTCAAGCCTAACAGCAATTACAACATTTGACACCAGGCCCTATGATATCAGGAATTTTACCCTGAAATTCCTGATTTACAGGGTTTTTTTTTTACCTACCCTCATTTTCCAGTGTTCAGTTTTTTGGGGGACTGATTTTTCAGCCTTTAGGGTCCAGATGACTCTGAACTTTCAGGTTTTTTTTTTAGAGGGACACTGATTACACTACGTTGTAACAAAACAGACCCTGAATGCGATTCCTACACGTTCCGAGTGTAGTTGCCTGGATTTACAAGGAATCTCAATTTCCCGCCTCGTCAGCACCGCCTGGCGGTGACTACCAGACAAATTTGCCCCGTGTTTTTCATTTTGGGGGCTGCTTTGTTGGCGCGGTAGGGGCGATCATTGGCCACTTTTGCAGCATTATGTGGGTTGACCAATGACAAGGTCGCACCAGGGCGATGTCAGAATGTGATGTTTGTGTAGCCTGCAGTGGGGTACTCTGTAGCGAGTACAGCCCGAATTAGGGTTTGCTATATGTACTCAACTGCATGCTAGTGAAAACCCCTCTTTCGTGTTTATCGTTTTAGCCTGCTATTTCGACATGCTATCAGAGCAGGTCGACCCTCCTGGGTCGATCCTGTGGGTGGGCCCCACCCAATGCTTTTGCTGCGGTTTCCTGCTGTCCCCTGCCTGCCGCGCGCTCCGGGCCCGCGGCGATTTTTCATCCCGCCGCGCGCTCGGGGCGTGTGGCGGTTTTCTGCCCCGTCGAACCGCGCGTCGCCCCCTGTCGACCGTCGCGTCGCCCCCCGTCGCCCGACGCGGCCCGCGCGACCTGCGCCAGGCCCGCGCGCGACCCGTATGGGCTGCGCCAGGCCCGCGCGCGGCCCGGGCAGCCCGCGTGCGGTTCGTCCCGAGATTCTGACCGCGCCCCACCCCCGCTGCTGCCCGCGCTCCTGTGTTAGGGTTTGGGGGTGGAGAGTATGGGGGTGCCGGGTGTGTGAGCCGTCCCCTGCTCCTCCTCCTCCTCCGTCTCCCACTGCTGCAGCTGCCGCTGAGGGGGGTGGATGTGTTGGAGCCGTCGGAGTGGTACGAGGGGGGTGGCGTGTGAGCGGTGCTAGTGGTTCAGCAGGGAGTGTGTGAAAGGAGTGTGGGACAGTTGGGGGAGGTTGACAGGAGGTGGCCGTTGTGACGTCTGCAGCGCCAGTAGTCCGGGGGTTGAGTACTCCGGTAGCCCAGCGAGCCTGCTGCTGCCAGTCGCCCGTGGGTCTGTTGCTCCTGCTGCTGCTTAGCGCGGAGCCAGTTACTCCTGTAGTCCGGAGGTTGAGTGCTCCGGTAGCCACCGTGCGCGCCGTTCCTGTTGCCAGTGTGTCTGCGGCTTCACCCGTCGCCTTCTATCTTCACTCCTCTCACAGTCTCTCCTCCTCCTCACTTGCCCTCTGTGACTGCCTCTAGCTTTGCTTATCATTGTGAACTATTACTCTATGACTGCTTGTTGTGTTGATTGTACCCCACTTTGACTATGGGGGTGTGTCAGAATGTGATGTTTGTGTAGCCTGCAGTGGGGTACTCTGTAGCGAGTACAGCCCGAATTAGGGTTTGCTATATGTACTCAACTGCATGCTAGTGAAAACCCCTCTTTCGTGTTTATCGTTTTAGCCTGCTATTTCGACAGGCGATGCTGGCAGGCTGCGATGCGAGGGTTTCTGCCCATTGCTTGCACCTGTGGTCCTGTGGCCTTTTTTGTCTAGGTCGTGCTGGCAAGCACTAATGCATCTACGCCGCCCAGCCGTGCTACCTGCCATCGAGGCTCCCATCCCATCTTCTGCTCCTTGCTTTCCTTTCATCCGCTTGGGGTTTCACCGCGTTCCTGCCTGGTGTACCAAGAGGCAGTCAGCCGTGTGGTTTCCCTGGCTATCCTGTTTCTAGCTTGGCTAGATCGTTGCAGCGTTAGATGCTGCTTCGTAGCGCTGCAAGCCATGGCGGACCCCCAGGACGAGCTGTTAAATAGTGGCGACCAAGGCGATGATGCGCATCGTGTTCGCCAGTAGATGTTTCCGCCGCTGTTACCGGCCTGGATCTGCTATTCTCCAGCTTCGCGGAAATCGAAAACCATGAAAAGTCACCTGCAGTCGCGCCGCCCGACTTTATTCCTTTTGAACCCATAGATGAGGGGTTTTGTGCGTCACCTACAGCGCCTGTGTTAGAGCAGGACAGCTCCTCGCCTTCTGTTGAAGAAACTGCGGCGGTTCCCGTTGCTAAGAAGAACGCGAGATACACCCAGTCAACGCTGCCATGGGGCAAGATGGGTGGTAACGCCGCCTTCACCTGCAGACCAACGGTCGACGCCCGCGAACGCTGGCACGCAGGTGTCGCCATCAGTTCCAGGGCCTTCTAAACCGGCAAGCCATGACGCGATTTACGCGGAGGCTCTGTATAAGTACAAAAGCGAGTGGCTAGAGAGGTTTTCTTGGCTTATATTGCTGAAATCTTATGGCAGTCTCCCTGCTTTCAAGTGCAGCATCTATATGGAGCACGCCGACTACGCGGGACCGTGCGGGAGAGGCGGAAAGGGCGCCACAGACGTCCAGACTCAGGCGTTCAAAAGGCATGCTGCAACAACCAAGCACAAGGAGGCGTTCAAGCACCAGGAAAAACTACTCTCGGAAGCTTCCACCCAGCCACGGATCAACGGCGATAATCTTGCTCGCGACACCGAGAAGGAACGTGTCATCAAGCTGCTTGGCTCCCTCCTCTTTGTCACGAAGCAAGATGCACCCATAGAGTTATGGGTGAATCTTGTTCGGTACCTCGCGGCTCTTAAGGTTCCAGGGTTCCCCGCGAAAGGCTACGGAACATATTACACCACGTGAGTAACATGTTTCGGTCATCTAAGCCGTGGTTGTGTTTCTCATTCTTATTCAGATTACACTACGTGAGTAACATATTCTTATTCTCTGACATGTTCTTGTTTGACATGCGCTGCAGATACGGCTTCGGGCAGCTCACTCAGTCGATGGCCACGTGGTTGCACACAACCCAACTGCAGCACATCCTTTCAAGCCCCTTTCTCGGCGTCACATGTGACGAGAGCACGGACAGATGTCGGGGAAAGCACATGATAATTTTTGCAACGTTCATCCGTGAGAACCGTGTCGTCACTGAATTCCTTGCGTTGCTGACAGTGGAGAAGGGCGATGCCGCCTCTCTCCTCCCAGTGTTCCTGTCCCACCTGCAGGCCCTCGGCATTGATCTTGCGAGGATTTCCGGCATGAGCACTGACGGAGCGAGTGTGATGATGGGCAAAAACAACGGCCTTGTCGCTCGACTTCGCCTCCGCATCCCGCACCTTGTCTCAAGCCACTGCATCGCCCACAGGTACGTTGTGCTTCCTGTTTCCGTTTATATGGAGTCCTTGTAGCATCCCGAAAACATGTCTCATGGTGCTGGTATGTGTGTTGTTGTGAACTCAGGGAGGCGCTCGCAGCAAAAGACGAAGCTGAAGCACTCCCCGAGTTCGAGATGGTCGACTCCCTCATCCGCCAAGTGGCTGAGCATTTGGGGCGTTCTGGCCCTTGGCATCAGCCGTTTGTTGCGCTTCAGGAGGTTTTCACCGCCACAAACCTGGAGCTCCAAGGGATTCACCAAGTACGGTGGCTCTCTAGGGGTGACGCCATCTTGCGCGCGGTAGAGGTCTTCCCCGCGCTCATCGTCATGCTATACGAGTGGGACAGCAGTCTGTACGAGCTCGCCACCAGTTACCGGTTTCACTTCCTGTTGTACTTCCTTGCAGACGTGCTGGAGCAGCTCAACGTGTTGAACAGGGCATTCCAGCAGCGAGAGGTGAGCAGGGTTACTTACATCTCATTGTACAGCGTCCGTTGCACCTCCCAAGATGTCCCTTTATTGTGTGATTCGCTTCTGTTTGTGTTTGTAAATGGTTTAATGTAGAGCTCAACAACAACCTGCAGTGCACTCATTTTGTCTTCCTTTCACCGTCTGTCTTTTGCCTATGCGCCTCTACTAGCTTGACACCGCAGGTGTCCATGCGCAGATCAGGAGGTCCCTGTCGTTCCTCGAGTCCCGCTATGTCGACTGTGGTGACGACTTCGGAGGCGGGATGAGCGCGCGCCTCTCCCCGTTCATCAAGAAGCACGGGCCTGAGGGGGGCCGCCCCGAGGTGAAGGTGCAGGGAGTGGACTTGGACGGTCGGCCGACTACACACACCTTCCAGCTGCACGAGAACCCAACCGAAGATTACCCAACCCTCGGCACTCACGACGCCTGCGTCGATCTCTGCACCACGTTCGCCGAAACGCTCGTGCGAAACCTCAGCAGGCGGTTCAAGGACTTGGACTCCCTGGTGGGAGTGAGGCTCTTCATGCCAGACGAGTGGGAGCTTGGGAGAGCGGAGCGCCACAAGCAGTGTCTAGAGTGGCTCATGTCACTCGTGACGCTGTTCACAGCACAGGAGATGGACTACATCATTCCAGGTATGCCCGTTGCATACATTGATGCTGTCCATGAGCTGCTTGTTTGCTGGTTTAAACTGTATTGTGAACGGGTATGCCAGGCTCTCTAATCCCCTCTCTCTCTCCCTTCTGTCTTATCTGGCAGGGACCGACAAGCGGCGGGTGATCAAAGAACTGCGTACCTTCTGCCCCATCCTCGTAGGTGCCCCGAAGAACGAGCGCAGCTTCCACGCCGGGCTAACAGCAATGCTGAAGACAAGCGACTGGACGACGAGCTACCCCAACCTGGTGCGTCTCTGGGTGGCTGTTGCCGTGCTGCCGCTGAGCACAGTGGAGTGTGAGCGCGGCTTCTCACGCCAGAATGTTATCAAATCGTGGCAGCGGGGGAGCCTCAAAGACGCCCGCCTTGAGGACCTGATCACGATGTCTCTGCTCGAGTACGAGCCCGACTACGATGAGGTGGTGCAGATTTGGCGCAGCTACAAGAAGCGCCGCCCATTTGGCAATGTGGCAGCAGCTCCAGCAAGAGAGGGGGAGGGCAGTGGCAATGGCAAGGGAAAGGAGGCAGATGAGGAGGCGGAGGAGGAGTTGGAAGAACCAGAGGCTAACTGCTGCAGTAATGATGATGATTAAATGAGGCCCCATCTGTTCCTGCTGCTGATGCAAGCGTGCTTGCCTGCTTGCTTGCTAATAGCTAGTGTAGTGTTGTTTGTTATCTTATTTAAGGACCTTCAATATCATTTCAGCCTTTGCAAAAAGGGAACACTGATGCATCAGACTTTTTTTTAAGGTAACACTGAACTTTCAGGGTTTTTTTTTTAGGGACACTGTCGATCAGGGATTCCACACAGAGGGACCCTGATGCACTAACGTGCCTAAAAGTGAATCATTGGGCCTGTTTGACACACCCGCATAGGCTAAGAGTGGGGCATCCACAAAGAGCAAGAAACGCAGAAGGTCAGGGTGGATGACGAAGTCACCACACACTTTAAGCACAAGCAAGCGGTCACAAGGCCAGTTCAAGAGTTCACGAGTATATATGAATTCAAGTATAAACAGAGCAAGAGACAAGAGGCACGACTACAGCAACCGAGGGCCTGCCTCAACAAGGCCTAACTGCAGAACATGTGGTGGTCACCAAGCGGAAGGGCCTTGGTGAAGATGTCTGCAGTGTTGGCCGCTGAGTCCACGAAGTCCAAGCGTGCATGGCCGCATCGCTGCAACTCTCGCAGGAGAAAGTACCTCACGCCGATGTGCTTCACTCTGCTCTTAAGTCGAGGCTCTCGATCCAGGAGGATCATGGCCTTGTTGTCAGCGAACAAGGTCGGTGCAGAGCTTGGCCGCTCGCTAAGGTCGGTGAGCAAGAAGGTCAACCAGCGAAGCTCCAGCGCAGCCATGGCACCGGCGTAGATCTTTGCCTCTGCCCTAGACTGCGCCACAAATGACGACCGAGTAGACCTCCACGGCACAGCTCCAGCGGCCAAGCGGAAGGAGTAGGAATAGTTGCAGTGACCGGTCAGCACAGTTGGCAGAGTCCCTCCAAGCACGTCTGTCGCTAGCTCCAGCTGTGAGGCAGAGGTGTACGCTGCGGCCATGGCCGCCCAGGAGCTTCGTTGGCGGTTTTTCCTCCTCACCGGCCTTGGTGACCGGCCTCGCTCTCCCCCACTCTTGTTCACTGACAACAGGTCTGCTGTCTGTTGTGCGAGGAGCCTCGACTGGTTGGGGAAGGCGAAGCACATCCAGCTTCGTTACTTCCTTCTGCGCGAGTTGCAGCAGCGTGGCCAGGCCCGCGTTGTCCGTGTGGTCTCTGAGGCCAACACTACAGATATCCTCACCAAGGCGTTGCCGCCTTGTGACCACCAGCGTTTCTGCACCCAGCTGGGCCTTGTGCTTGCCAGTCCTCACTTGCTTATGTAGAGATGCTTGTCTTGCTTGTCTTGTACTCTTGCATCTCTTATACTTGCTATATACTTGCATGTGGACTGGCCTTGTGGCCCCTTGCTTGTTCTCGGACTGTGTGGTGATTTTGAGATCCACCCTGAGATTTGTTTTGTTCTTGTGGACTGGTCTTGTGATCGTTGCTTGTTCTTGCTGACTAGTCATGTGACCCTTGCTCCCAGACTGTGTGGTGACTTCATGATCCACCCTGAAATGTGTGTTACTTTCCACAGGACTGCCGTCACCTAGACTATGGGGTGTGTCAAACCATGTTTATATAATTTATATTGCTGTAGTCTAGGTGTATTGCTTTTGACCTAGAATTAGGGTTAAGGCTTTCATATATCTTGTTTGTACTTTCATTCCTGACTCTTTAATTCGATAGTTCCCATTGTAGCAGCGACCTCGTGCTTCGCCGAGCTCTTGATTGTGTCGACGCCAACGTGCGCGAGCCTCGCGTGCCACATGTCAGGCGTCGACTTCGTCGCCAAGACGATCGTCCGCAGGGCCACCACCTCTGTCGACGCGATGTCGACTTCGTCGAGCAGGGGCGAAGGTCAGTGCAGAGGACCCGGCCCGTGTAGCGCGCCCGGCCAAGCACATCCCCCACCGCCGAGATGAGCAGCACCTCGTCGCCATCGTCCTGCAGCTTCATGCCGCTATCCTTCAGCTGGCCGGCCGACAGCAGGTTCGGCTGCACGCCCGGGACGTAGAGCACGTCGGGGACGGGGACCTGCTTCCCAGCCTCCCCTTGCAAAGCGACGATGCTGTGGACTTGGACGGTCTAGAGTGCCCCATTGAAGCCTCGGCACCATGTCAACGAAGGCCTCCTTCGTCCCTATCGGGTGATGGGAGAATCCGTTGTCGAGCAGAGCCACTGTCGAGCAGCACCGCCGTTGGGTTCTCCTGCACAGCGGCAGCGACTGCCTTGTAGTCTTCGCCGGCCTCCGGCGCCAGAGAAACGGTCAGCTTCACGACGCCGACCAACGAGCACGATGCCTCCCCATCGCCTCAGGCCTTGCCGCCGGGGGAGGAGACGGCGTCCTTCGCCGACGCCGTCTTCTTTGACGCCTCCTTCTCTTTGCGCGGCTTGCTCTCCCGACGCTGACGGCCGCCGTCTGACCGTTAGCGGCCTCCCTTGTGGTCGTCGGCGTCGAACTCTTCGCGGTCAGGGAAGTCGTAGGAGAGGTGGTCAGGGTCGCCACAGACCCAGCATTCGCGCCGAATTTGGCGCCGTCCTTCGCCTCCGAAGTCACTGTCCCGAGTCGACTTCGTCCTGTCGGCTTCCTCTGCCAACTTCCCACCTCCGCCCAGCTTCCTATGTAGTCCCTGTTGACGTCCCTGCTTCGTCGGGGCGACGTAGTTTGCCTGCGGAGGGAGCTTCGTGGGCTTCTCGGCCTCCTGCATGGCCTCGTCCTTGATGATGTGGCTCGTGCGGGTGTCCTCGTTGAGCGACTCACGCACGCCGGGCATCGCCAGCATCCAGCGCATCATGTTGTAGCCCGACGGGAGACCCTTGACGACGTGCGTGATGTAGGACGCCGTCGAATAGTCGACGCCGGCCATGCGTATGTCGGCTAGAATCCGCCGGGCACCGTTGTAGTAGTCCGTCGCCGACTCCTGCTCGCCCATCCTAATGTGGGTTGGATTCTCCTCTAGCTGGCCGATGTACAAGTTGTCGGTCGACTTGTATGTCGACATGATGTACTGCCATGCTTGGTGGCCGGCGTCCAGTCAAAGTCCACACGGCTTCAGAGCGACCTGCACCATCGGCGAGCAGCACAGCGAGATGACCATGAAGGTCAGCAGGTGAGCGGCGCGAAATTCCACCCGGAGCTCGACATCGGCATAGTGCGGCGTCTCCACGTCGCCGTCGGCGAACGAATTCAGCCCGGCGATCTCCAGGTGGGGCTCAATTGACTCCGTCCGCGTGATGAGGTCGTGCCGACCTTCCAACAGCTTGGGGCATGGCAATCTTGTCCGGCGAAACTTGAAGTATCCGTACGCCGGTGTGATACCACCGTCTTGACCAGCCGTCACGTGGGTCGTTGACGTCGTCCCGACACCACTTTTGTTGGGGAGAGCAATGTCGTCCACCGACGTCGTCGTGCGAGCTGCGCGCGGCTGCCGTCGACCGCTGCACTCGTCCTTGCATCCCGCCGACGACGACGTCGGCAGCCCTGATCACTCCTCTTGTCATCCTCGTGCGCTCGTCGCTGCCGACTTCGTCATGCCCGTCGACATTCTCGTCGACGCCGCCTTCGTTGCGCACCGGTCGAGGAGAGGCAGACGCACCGTCTGCAACAGGTCGGGGAGGGTGATCGTGCGCCCACTGCGCACGAGTGCCTAGGAGGAGCACCTCCAAGGAATCCGTCCCGTACTCGCCAGCCGTGTGGCGTCTCCTAGCATCTGCATCTCGTGCCTCTATCGTATCCTCTACCACACCGGATCCTAACGGGGCACGCGTCATGGTCTGCACAGGCTGCCGGCCTAGCAACATCCTAGGTAAGGGATAAGTCTGCTACCATCTGAAGGAAATCTGCGGTGCCGTCTACGCTCACCGCACCATGCGGAGAGTCACTCTACACTGGGAGCTGGACTACGGGGGAAGGCACGGGTGGTATGAGTGGTCGTAGCGTTCATTGCGTTCTCTAGCACTTGTGCATTCACGGTGAAAGTTGGCAAGAGTTTCACTAGCAAACAGGCAGGTCGACCGCCAGCACAGGAAGTCGGCGGCCCGCCAGCGCAGCAAGTCGGCGGCCTCCCAACGCAGCTCGATGGCGGCTTGCCAACACTGCAAGTCGGTGAACTGCCAGCTCTGCACCAAAGCGGCTTGCCAACGCTGTAGGAAGGCGGCTTGCCAACGTTTCAACCGCATATGACCATAGCGCATGTGCGCACCCACTTCGCAGGTGTCGGTTGAGCACGTTGTGCACCGCCCCGGACATCGCGCGGGCACCAAGTCGGCCACGTGCTGACGGTTGCGCCTGATGAGCCACGTCGACCTCGGGATACTAGCCCGAGGTCGGCTGTGCCAAAGCCACCTGGATGACGTTCGCGCACCCCTGCAGAACTTCGTCGGACAGGTTACACGGTCGACCAGAGGAGGCCGCCGACGTCCGCAAGCCGGCGCCCCCCAAGTCGGCGTCGCCCCCCTCCCCCCCCCCCACCCCCGCCCCCCGAGTCGTCGACAAACGCTTTAGTTGGCCACCGACTTCACCTCGTCGA